AATTCTCCTGCCTCAGCCTCCTGAGTAGCTGGGATTACAGGCATGCGTCACCATGCCCCGCTGATTTTTTGTATTTTTAGTAGAGATGGGGTTTCACCATGTTGACCAGGATGGTCTCAATCTCTTGACCTCGTGATCCACCCGCCTCGGCCTCCCAAAGTGCTGGGATTACAGGCTTGAGCCACTGCACCCGGCCCCAGCTAATTTTTATATTTTGAGTAGGCCACAGGGTTTCACCATGTTGGCCAGGCTGGTCTCGAGCTCCTGGCTTCAAGCGATCTGTCAGCCTTGGCATCCCAAAGTGCTGTGATTACGGGCATGAGCCACCATGCCTGGCCCAGTTTATAATTTTTTAAAGCACTGCTAAATGAAAACATCGGAATCTACATCCTTGCATCTGAGCTACACTGTGAGGACAGCTGCAAGGGCCACTGGGAAAGACAGATGGGCATTGTTCTTCTAGCTCATAGCATTCTAGGAAGACTGGGCCATGTGTGGCCCATAGAAACTTCCTGTTTTGGTATTTAGTTCAGTCCAAGAAGAACTCTGGTAGACATGGCATATGGTAACGGTTTATGGTCAGAAATTAAATATTTGCTAGCTTTAAAGTTTGGAAAGAATTTGCAATTTACAGAAATTCATATAAACTAATTGCCTATATTACTGAAAAAAGAATCATTTATTTTTAAAAGCTATTTTTGATTATATAAAATAAAACATTATCTGGTAAACTGGTGTCTTACAAAGGTATAAACATATATTTAAGGTTCTTAAAATGAAGATAAGCGTGGACTTACCATAATTGGGTAAAATATACATATTGAGTGGTACCATCAGCAAAACTATGCATCCCAGAACAATAAAGGGCACTTCATAGCCAAAGGATTGATACAAAAAGCCACCTACAGGAGGACCTAGTATTAGTCCCAGTCCAGAAAAAGTCTCAAGACTTCCCTTAAAATGAGAAAAACAAAAAAAATCAGTTCATATATTTCATTTGAAGAATTAACAAGGTACTATCTAAAAAAAATTTCTATCTTCTTCATAATTTACATACACACTTTTCCAAGGTGGACCCAAAGTTTAAATGCACATACTGAAATTATAAAAATATTAGAAAAATAAAATAAGGAATTAAGAAAATTCTTATGGTAGGGAAGGTATTCTAATTATGACATAAAACGTAGAAGATAGAAAAGACTGATAAATCTGATTACATGAAAATACGAAAAATGACGCACAAAAAAAATCAAAAGATAAATGAAGAACAGAGAAAAAAATGACAAAGAACTAATTTGCCAAATATATCACAAGTGCTACAGTAAGGAAAAGATAAACAACCCATAGAAAAATGAGCAAATGCTATAAATAAATGGTTGACACATAAAGTGAAACACAAAGATCTTTTAGAAGTTCATCCTCACTTCTTAAAAGAAATGAACAAATTTAAACCACAAGATACCAGTTTTCACCTATCTCCTATTTAATACTCTATGCTGGTGAGTGAACATCAGTAGGGAATTTGGCAAATCGGCAAATCTATCAATATCCATATACCTTACGATCCAGAATTCCACTTCTAAGAATTTAACATACAAGTATAGACATGCAGATGTGACATGGTATGTATACAAGCTTATGCACTATAGTGCAGTTTTGCAACAGCAAAAGATGAAAATAATCTAAATATTCATCAATGATGTAAGTAAATTGGTTATATCCACGCAGTGAAATGCCATACAGCCAGTAAGAAAAGTAAAGAGTAAGAAAGCTCCTTATGTGTAGGTACAGGAAGATCTCCAAGATGATTTCATTGTTGGTGTAACCAGTGAGGTGCTGAATGGTACCTATGGTATGCTACCATTTGTGTAAAGAAAAAAAAAGAGGGAGGCCGGCGCAGTGGCTCACGCCTGTAATCCCAGCACTTAGGGAGGCTGAGGCAGGCAGATCACAAGGTCAGGAGATCAAGAGCATCCTGGCTAATATGGTGAAACCCCGTCTCTACTAAAAATACAAAAGATTAGCCAGGTGTGGTGGCACATGCCTGTAGTCTCAGCTACTCTGGAAGCTGAGGCAGGAGAATTGCTTGAATCCAGGAGGTGGAGGTTCCAGTGAGCCAAGATTGCACCACTGCACTCCAGCCTGGGCGACAGAGCGAGACTCCGTTTCAAAAAAAAGAAAGAGAAAAGAGAGATACCTCAATATTCCTGTCCAAGAAAAGAAAGGAAAAGAAAAAAGGAGGAGGGAAATCACGATCTGTGTGTGTGTGTGTGTGTGTGTGTGTGTGTGTGTGTGTACATGCATATATGTGGAATTTCTCTGGAAGAAACCTCCACTATCTGTTGCCTTCCCTAAGGGGATGGAGCGCTGGGCACCCGCACAACTGGTGTTATACAAAGGCTAAGCAACAGTTATAAGTAGAATATATTTACTATATTCTACGCTGCCTCCCATAACTTTCGAATTTTGTACCATATAAAATTATTTTGTTTAAAGTTAAACAAAACAATGCTATGGGAAAAAGGGTTTACCACTATAGAAATTGCCAACATTTTAAATCAATCTAGTTTCTAGGGACCTTAAACAGAGATCTGTGGCTTGCAACCTTATATCCTCAGACCTCATAGAGTATACAAAAGTGTTCCATTCATAACTTTCAACACTTCATAAAGAACATTGAAATTCTTTAATCACAATAAGGTCATCCGGATCAATTACCATGTTAGTTTGTTAGCTGTTGGCTGCAATTTTTTACAGAAACTTGCCCTAGCAACACGGATGTTTCTTGCTGATTAGAAAATCCAGTGGACTGTTATAATTATCACATGAACTTATTAGGTAGCATTTTCCAGAGTGTTCCACAGAAAACCAGCTCTTTAAAATATCAAAAGTCTTGTTTGAAAAAAATAGCTCCAGCCAGGCATGGTGGCTCACACTTATAATCCCAGCCACCTTGGGAGGCCAAAGTGGGAGGACTGCTTGAGGCCAGGAGTTGAAGACCAGCCTGGGCAACAGACAGGTCTGCAAGACCCTGTCTCTACAGAAAAAAAATAAAAAAGAAAAGAAAAGAAAAAAAAATGTGGTTCCACATTTAAAGAAGTTGAAGTGAGCTGTGGAACATTAAATAAAGTACCCCTACTCCAGGATTTTCAAAGCCTTAAGATATTAATGTGAACTGGACATCTCCTAGGTTACAGGACACCATATAACACTCTCCAAACCTGCTTAGCCATAAACCCTTATCTTACAGAGTATATCAACAGACTAGTGTTCTGAGCCCTTTCTGAGAAATATATTGCCTGGAAATGTAAGTGGTATATCTGCCAAATGGCAATAAAACTTGAACCTATCCAGCTATATACACAAATGCTTAATAAAAAGTAGGAAGAACTATTTACACAGCAAAGGGTTTATCTGACAGTGCAAATTTTCAAACTGCAGTATTAAATGAGAAAATGAGGGAGTCCTTGGTACTAAGTTGATTAGACTCTGAAGTCTAGAGAACAATGATATGCTATAAGGGTGCCATGCAGACTATAATATGAGTCTTTCAGAAGTGCATGGGCCCAGACAGACAGTGCTATGATGGGAAAGCCTTCTCGGGTGTCAGAGAGACAGCTGCCTAGAGATGGGATGGGAATCTGATATGTCACTAATACTAGGCCTGTAAGCACCTAGGCAGTACACAAAAACATATGTCAATATGATGCCACCAGGATCTGGATGTTTATGTCAAAATGCAAAAGCATTCTGTCTATCCTCAGACAGACAGCACAGAAGCACTTAAGCACTTCAAGATGATTTCTAAGATCCCCTGCATTAATCTGGGGTAAGCCAAGGTAGGACTCTAGTATAAACTGATTATTTTGCCACTAGGGGTAACTCTTTTCTAAAGCAGAGGAATGCTTCAGGCAGCTCGGCCACAATCTAGGCTACAGGGAGATAGCAAAACACTACCAAGGAGATTTTCTGTTTTTGCTTTGGAGATGGAGTTTCACTCTTGATGCCCAGGCTGGAGTGCAATGGTGCAACCTCGGCTCACCACAACCCCCGCCTCTTGGGCTCAAGCGATTCTCCTGCCTCAGCCTCCCAAGTAGCTGGGATTACAGGCATGTGCCACAACGCCTGGCTAATTTTGTCTTTTTGGTGGAGATGGGGTTTCTCCATGTCTATCAGGCTGGTCTCGAACTCCTGACCTCAGGTGATCCAGCCACCTCAGCCTCCCAAAATGCTGGGATAAGAGGCCTGAGCCACCCGTCCAGCCTAAGTTTTTTTTTTTTTTTTTTTTTTAAGGGGTAAAAAGAACAACTGATTTGGACCACACTTACCAGTCAAACTGCCCATTCAGGAATTCCAAAACCAGGAAGAGCACCTAAGTAACACTAATGGTACATTTATTGACAGGCTTCCCGCCAGTTGAACTCAGGGTGAAAGGCAGTAATAATACAGGGAGTAGAGAAATACAAGTATAGAAGAATGGACCTCAGCTTTAACTTGGAAAGGCAAGCAAATATTTTGTTTTACACTCAAAGGGAAGTAGGAAATACTTACTAAATACATACCAATACTGTAGCCACGTTATTTGGAAAAGCCTTTGCCAGGATAGAGGAAGATGCAGTTATTGCTGCAGCAAAGCTAACTGCATCTATTATTCTCACTAGAAAACACATAGCAATAAATACTGGTCCATCTGGAACTCGGTCCAATACACTAAAAAGGAATAAGACAATTCTCAAATGTCAAGCTGGTTTTCCTTTTTAACTGTACTCACCAAAAAGGGTAGTATATCACCCATAGTTATGAGAATAAATCACTTTACAATATGACTTTTTTTAAAACAGTTGCTTTGTTAGATTTTCAGTAGGAGGAAATTCCCCTTTTTCTCTTTTTGGTAACAATTTGAGTCATAATGACAGCTTAGTCGCCCTTTTCTGCCGATATACTGGTCCCCCAGATGATAGTACTAAATAGACCTTTTTAGAATATGTAGAATCATTTGGATGTGGTGGCTCACACCTGTAATTCCAGCACTTTGGGAGGCTGAGGCAGGCCAGGATCCCCTGAGGTCAGGAGTTCAAGACCAGCCTGGCCAACATGGCGAAATCCCATCTCTACTAAAATATATAAAAACTAGTTGGGCATGGTGGCGAGCACCTGTAATCCCAGTTACTTGGGAGGCTGAAGCAGGAGAGTCACTTGAACCTGGCAGGCAGAGATTTCAGTGAGCCGAGATTATGCCATTGCACTCCAGCCTAGGCAATAGAGCGAGACTCCATCTCAAAAAAAAAACAAAAAAACAAAACAAACAAACAAAAAAAAAACATGTAGAATCACTCTGACAAGACCTAAACAGAAAAAAGAGCTCAGTTTCAGGTCTCTCCTGAGGAAGGACTCAAATCTTCAAAAAAAAAAAAAAAAGGAATAAAGAAAGAAAATAAAAGACTCCTCCAAAAATTTTTTAACCCCATTTAAGTTTTCTTGAGTTTATTTCATTATAATCTTACTATACTGTTATTCCTCTATGTTCCCCATGTACTGATATAAGCTCTTACATATTATTTGGCACTGCGCTGCTAGTTTAAGAACTCTAAGCTTAAGAACTTTCACATCTCTTTTGCCTCTGGCATTCGTTTTTTCTTTTTCTGGAAGTAGCAATGGGGGAAACCATTCTGTTATATGCCACGCGCTGAACTGAGCATGTGACCCGGCCTGGCCAATCAGAACATCCCCCACCACCACCACCATCAGCAAAGATCAGGCCAGTGAGGGTTCATTCTGTGACTCTAATAGGTACTGTTAGGAAACTGGCACTTTCTACTGAAGCTGCTAGGGGCCGTCTTGCCACCTAAAGGGGAGGGCTTGTTCAAATCACAAGAAGAAACGTTTCTCATGACGTTGTTTCAAATCTGTATTCTGATATTTTTTGAGTTGACTTCGTTGAAGAAATTCAGTTTTTTACTGAAGCTAGTAAGTTTCCATGACTCAGAAAAGTGAGTTAAGTTTCTGTCACTCGCAATCACAGGAGTCCTAATGAAGAGGTTCAGTAGCAAGCATCATGGAGATCCCCCAGAGGCCTGTTTCCTTAAAATCAGTGCCATTTATCCCCGTTCTCTACTCTCTCAACTCCTGTCATTATCACATGCTATGCATTCGACAAACAATAATGGAACCATTGACTTAAAGAGCCTTTAACATTTTAAGCTGAAGATAGAGTAAAAAATCTGTTCAGGCTTCCAAATATAATCAGAAAATGACTCACCCAAAGAGAATTGTAACTCCTCCTGAGACAAACATTCCAGCTACAAACATAAATTTTGCTCCAATTTGTACAAGCTATAATAAATGTCAAAGCAGAGTGGTCAATTTATGACTTCTACAAGTCTCTATTAATATAAACAAATCCACTGTATTGGAAAATACAGGATGGGGGAAGACATGTACAGTTAATACGTTATAATAATTCTTTAACAGAGTGACAGCACACATTGCTTACAAACATGGAAAGAGTTAAAAATCAATCAATTCTGAGGAAGGAACTGTTAACAGTGTTACAATTTATAAAACTACAAAGATGGCTATTCTGTATCAATGCAAATTCTAGACTAGTAAATGAAAATAATTCACCATGCAATTTTTAAAAATTAAGATGTACATATGAACTTTATGCTTACATAGTTTCCAAATACCAAGGATGCCAGCAACTCGGACAAAGCAAAACATCCAAAGATCATCCCGATAATCGTATTGCTGACTCCCTTCTTCTCAGCCTTTAAAGAATAGAAATAGAAACCGAGTTTGAAAAAAAAATGAGCATTAATATGAAAAAATGGCAATATAAGATCAGAGCTTCATCTTCTTGTGCACTTTATCTGTATATCAATTTCAAAAAGATTATTCTTTTCAAATAAATGGGGTGGGGAAGGAAGGGAAACTATTAATAGTTTATATAGTAAACCATAGTCTCTGACATGAAAATAATTCACTCACCTATCCTATAGAGAATTGTTAGCTTTAGCTGCAAAAGTCAGAATCAGAGAATATAAACAAACACAAAAAAGTCTTGGATAATGAAATTTGGGCTCTACTGCATAGTAACAGGACTGAGGAAACAGCTGATTTGGACACACTTCCTTTGGGGTATCACATTTAGTTACAGGAAACAAACAAAAAACACTTGCCAGTCTACAAATTCAAGGATAGGAAGTTCTATGAGTTGGCACATGGGTCAGATCAAGGCTCAATCAGTCTAGGTCTCTGTTTCTGACAGTAATATCAATTACCTGACAGTTTGGAGAAGACAGTTTTCCTTCCTGTCATCAACAACACAGGTGAAAGATGCTCCCCTGACATGCTACATTCTCCTGAAACAGCCAAGGTAGTTTATCATCCATCAGTTATAGTTACTAATGTGTATAGCCTATTCTATCAGTGAGCTCCTAAAATTTGCAACCTATATTATTTATCCTAAATCTACTTCTTTTGAATTTCAAGTGCTACCACTGTGATACACAACTACATTCACGTATAAAAATAGAAAGTTTAAGAAACTTCATCAAGTCCTGGAACTATGGCAGATCCATATCAGGTTCCAGCTATAGGAATTTAAGGAATCAAAATATGAGTTTAATTTCTTTAAGATAGGGCTGGCAACTTAACATACTACAAACTGCAAGCCTGAACTGTCATCAGTCATATACTGACCATCTTGTACATATGAGGCATTGTACCAGCAGTGAATACTTATGGTCAGAAAAATCCGCTTTAGGTCCATTCTTTTGGCAGAGCTTCAGATTTTCACAACAATTTCATAATCAATACAGAAATGGACACCTGCACACACACCTTTGCACTCTTCAACATCCCTTCTCTACAACCATGATTGCCTTTCTTTACCTTTTCTCTCTAACTACAGTTTAAGATAAAAATTTTCTCCATCCCTTCTCACCTAAAGATACTATCGTCATTCAATCTTTGTCTTTTTCAAGGACATTTTTTCCATGTCAGACTAGACCTCTTTAAACAAACTCTACATTCCTCATCGCATCATACCACAGGAAGCCAGATAAGTGAACTTTATTGTTCTAAGCTAAATTTTAGGAAGTGCCTCTCTTTTACTCTAGGAAAGTCCTCAGAAATGTCCCTAAGCACTTGATGGTGGGTGAGGGCAGGGACGATGGGCCCATAGCTCCACAGTAATTGCTTGGGCAAGATTTAAGTCCATAATTCTTGGGCTTCATAACTAGCCATTCCCCTTCCATGTACTAATAACCACAGGAAATAATGGTGTGGGTACAAGAGCGATCTCATTAAAACACCTTTAATGGCACTGTAACAAATGATTATGCCGTATGTTGACTGGAACACGAGGTCTACATTTCTACTACACACAGGTCAGGTTCCTCAAAGATAAGGGACTGTGAAAGGAGTCAATTAAGGCATAAGAAGAGCATGCATGGCCAGGCGTGGTGGCTCACGTCTGTAATCCAAGCACTTTGGAGGTCAAGGCGGGCGGATCACCTGAGGTCGGGAATTCAAGACCAGCCTGACCAACACGGTGAAAACCCGTATTAAAAAAAAAAAAAAAAAAAAAAAAAAGAGCATTCATTAGTCAAGTTATATTATCAATGTTCTTTGCTTGGTAGTTCTGATAAGTGTTTAATTTAGAATCCAGCAGAAAACCTATAATGGCCATAGAAATGAATACTTATTAGACCCTTATTATGAGCCAGAATCTCTATTAAGTGCTGCTTTACATGACATCTAACAACAATTAAATAAAGGATGTATTTTTAGCTGGTCCCATTTATAGATGGGGACAGGGACTTGCAAAGGTTACGGGGTCATGCACCACTACAGTTTCCATCGTGTGCATGTTCCCATATTCACTGTGGAAATGAAACGCTGACACAGGATATGCTAGAACCACATAGATGAATGCCATTTTTGAAACATGGATCCTGCTTCACATTAGGAAAGCAAAAACAGCTATTAAAAGCAATTTCTGGGACAGGCGCAGTGGCTCACGCTTGTAATCCCAATAATTTGGGAGGCCAAGGCAGGTGGATCACCTGAGGTCAGGAATTCAAGACCAGCCTGGCCCGTATGGTGAAACCCCATCTCTACTAAAAATACAAAAAAAATTGGCCAGGTGTGGTGACGCGTGCCTGTAATCCCAGCTATTTGAGAGACTGAGGCGAGAGAATCGCTTGAACCCAGGAGGCAGAGATTGCAGTGAGCTGAGATGATGCCACTGCACTCCAGCCTCGGTCAGAGCGAGACTCTGTCTCAATAAATAAATAAATAAATAAATAAATAAATAAATAAATAGATAAATAAATAAAGCAATTTCTAGTCGTCTGATAAAGGATGAGCCTTGCAAGAAAAATGATGAATAGAAGTAGGAATCCCACACTAGAATTTAAGAAAGGCCTTCCCTCTGCAAGGCGAGACAAAGTAGCAAATGTTAGAAGCCACATTTTGCTCATTTCTGCTTGCCAGCATAATGTCCCAAAGCCCCTGACTCTGTGACAACATGCAGCTCTTGGGACGGATGAGTTGAAGACAGAACAGGATAAAGCACATGACCCCCACATCTCTTGCCTAAGCTATTACATTAAATGATAAATGCCCTAGCCTTGCCTCTTCCTACACATAAGATGGCATCTAACAGGTTGTGATTACGCTTTTACAAACTAAAACCAAAGGTACATTAGAAATCTATAACCTGATGTACTCTTATACTCAAATTTTGATGTGACCTTGCACATACTGAATCTCCACTACCTGAAGACAAACTGTGAACTTAAATACTCAGCCTGTAGTCCTCAGAAAGACTTTTGAATAAAATGAACTTTAATTCTTTAAAAGCTTGACTTTTTTCTTTAGTGAACATTTCCTATAAGCAAAAACCTCAATCAAAAACTTAAAAAGCACACACCCACAGCCTGGTTTTCCTTTGTGCTATTCATTTAGAGAAAACTAACATTGGTTGCGTTCACTGAGTTCCAGCTGAGCTAGGAAATGCCCTTCTCACTGGTTGATTCACTCCCATTCTTCTCCATCTCAATTCCACAGGCTCCTATTATTATTATTACTTACAAAACCCAAGTCTGGCCAGACTGGTCTGTCTTGCTCAAACACCTCTGATGATTGCCCACTAAGTCCTTGGTATGTATGCAAGTGCCCTTCCTTCCTGTCTCAGCCCTGCCCCCTCCAATCCAGTCTCCTATTAGAACTCATTTCACCCCAGGCCCATGCCACATCAAGAAGCTGTCTGCTGTTCCCCAGACACATGCCATTCACTCTGGTCTTCCTGTGACCGTACCTAGAACACCTCCACCTCTATTGTTCACCGTAAGAATTACCATCTCTTAGGACCCACCTTAGGCCAGGTCCAGTGGCTCATGCCTGTAATCTCAGCACTTTGAGAGGCTGAGGTAGGCGGATCACTTGAGCTCAGTAGTTCAAGGTCAGCCTGAGCAACATGGTGAAACCCCACCTCTACTAAAGATAGAAAAAAACAGCTAGGTTTGGTGGCACGTGCCTGTGTCCCAGCTCCTCAGGGGGCTGAGGTGAAAGGATCTCTTGAGCCTGGGGTTGAGGCAGCAGTGAACCCTGATCATGTCACTGTACTTCCAGCCTCAGTGACTGTGAAACCCTGTCTCAAAAAAAAAAAAAAAAAAAAAAAGTCCCACCTTGGATTTATCCTGAAAGTACCACTCTGTCTTCTCCTATCTGCAGAATTAACCATTCTTCCTTTTAGGGTCTCATAACATTAGCATGGATAGAAGGAAGCCAGAAGAGAATGATAATTAAAAAAAGAAAAAGAAAAAAAAACAGTCATGTAACATTCTGGACATCCTTTTCTTAAAGGATATCCAAATCATTGGAAACTTTTTTCCCCATATTTTTTCACTCCCAATGGGCAAACAAGAGAGAGCCATTTCCCCGATTTTTGAATTCTACCTTAATACATCCCACGCTTAGCCTGCTCTAGAGTAGGAACTCATTAAACCTCTAGTTAACAGAACTGAAATGGACAAGTCACAGCTTCTGAGACTGTTTCCTCATTTGCAACATGCCGAGATTCTCACAATTCTACCTGCTGTATGAGGTTGTCACAGGGATCAAATGGATAAATGGGAGGAACGTGTACTAAAAGCCAGAGGGCACTGTATGGGTACATGGCAATATTGTTCCTTTAGCAGAGAAGCCACTTTATCTTCTTTGGTAGCACTCGGAATGAAGGACTACATGTTTTAACTCCAGTTTGAGGACTAAGAAGTTGCCACTGCACTGTGAGCCAAGGATTTGGCAAAAAGCACAAAATAAAACACATGGACATATTGTCTGCACTCCAAACCAGTCACATTCATTTCATACTATATCCTATTGACATCAGGAATCCAGTTGGACTCACTAGGGATTATTCTCTTTGAATGTGTGTCATTATCTATAAACCCTAACACCATACAAAAGGCTAGGACTACAAGGAACAGGCCATATTAATCAGAATTCCTCCCTTGCATAAACATTGCTGCTACAGTCCTTAAGAAATTCAAGTCAAAAGAGGGGATATTGTGGGGTTAAGCTGGGTGGCTCATGCCTGTAATCCCAGCACTTTGGGAGACTGAGGTGGGCAGATGACCTGAGGTCAGAAGTTCGAGGCCAGCCAGGTCAACATGACAAACCCCTGGCTCTACTAAAAATACAAAAATTATCCTGGCGTGGTGGCGTGTGCCTGTAATGCCAGCTACTTGGGAGGCTAAGGCAGGAGATTCACTTGAACCAGAGAGGCAGACCACACCATTGCACTCCATTGCAGTGATGGAGCCAAGACCACACCATCGCACTCCAGCCTGGGCAACAAGAGTGAAACCATTTCTCAAAACAAAAACAAGCGGGGGTGGGGGGGTGCGGTGGGAGGGTGGAGGATCTGGGGAATCAAAACTTCCTAATTTTAAATGTGGATAAAACCTCCCAGAAATAGTTTGTGTCTTTACACAGACCTATTGCAGTAACATTTGAATCTCAGTTATTCAGTGCACTCCTTTTTTTCAGTTGCAGAAACCAAATAAAGATTAATCAGACTGCATGGTAAGCATGAAATTCTCAGAAGATCAACTACTTTTAGGTGAATTACCTCCCAAGAAGATGTTCTTTCTGACTAGATTTTTTTTCTGGGTATCAAGCATTCCATAAAAAGTATTCTAGGGGCTGGATTTCTATACATCATCTGTGCTATATGCAGATTTTTACATTTTACATACTAAAAAATGAAATAATTTAAAAGGCTTTTAAAAAAATAGAGCTCCTAAAGATTTGAAAATGTCTTACCTCCTTGGGGAAAAAGGGTCCAAGTATAGACTCGCACATCATGGAACCTAAGTTCACCGAAGCTGCCGCTATCAGTACAAAAACCTGTTCTCTGGAAAGCCACCTGGGAGTCTCTCCTGCACTTCCTGCAGGGTCATCACCTTGAATGCAAACATGCTGCAGTTAGCCATATAATTGACAGTGCTGATCAAAGTACACAAATGTGATTTCTGTGCACATATGTTGCACTCTGAAGATATCATTTACGGAACTTAGGGCTATTATGAATATGGCACATTTGATCAAATGGAACATAATCCTTGTACATTACTGCAGTTTTGAAAACATACTGCTTTCATTTACATACCATTCTCTGTTAGAATTTCAATGCAGAAATCATCAAGCCATCTGATCTTTTGCCTTCACCTTTAAGTCTGCTTCTCTGGTATTTAATAACCCTTCAAAAAGGATAAGGTGGCAGGGTGATCTCCAAAGGGTGATGCTCTCTGAAGCATAGTGTCCTTATTTTCTCAACTTACTAGCATCATATGCTACGTGAAACTCAATGTTTCAAGCATGTAATGTTAATAAGATTTCTAAGGCAGCATTGAAGTCAAATGAAGTGTAAGTAGGAGAAAACAAGCTAAATCATTCAGCTGGTGAATGAATACTTACAATGGTATGCTTCTGGATAAACAAGTCCCACAAATTCATAAATCAATATTTTTTACATTAATTACTTGTCTTTTGCATCAGTTAATTTAACACTTATTTCCAGGGCTAAATTGCCATTTAAAGACATGAAGTCAATTACTCAGAGTTTCAAATATCCAAGCAAATCTATCAGCCATTTATAAATTAAATTGTTTTAAGGAAAAACTTAGGAAAAATATATCCGGTTTCCTCTGTTTTTCAGAGGTTGCCTTTGCAGCCCAGAAAAGAAAAAAAAATCTGTGCAACATGAGGAAGTCTTACTATTCTTTGTAAAATGTTTGTACTAGATGAGAAAGGGAAATGAGAGAAAGTTAAAAAAGAAGGGCAACAACAGTACTTGAAAGGTAACGTTTTACATTTGCCTAATGGCATGCTTATTTGAATGCATTAAGCACACAGTACTTAAAAGCAGAGGTATAGGTTAGAAAATCATTAGAAATCACGACACATATCCAGTGCTGGAACTTTACACCCTTCAGAGAGAAAAGTAAACGCTGGCCCCAACCCCATGCTCAGGACCCAGGCTTTTCCAATCTCTTGGAAACGAATCAAGCTAAAAGCAATTCAATCGTTCCTAAAGAGACAGGCCCGAAGCCGCCGCCGCCGCGCTCCCAGTTCACGCGATTCATGGTCACCTCCTGGTGCGCGTGGGCCCTCGAGGTCAGCCGGCGCATCCATGCCCCGTAGGTGGACTCTGGTGCCCCCAGCTCCCGGGTTCAAGTCACTTCCTTGGATTCGATTTCCAATGATCCACTGGCACTCCGGTGGGCGGCGCTGCTCAGCTGGGCCCTGGCATTCCCGACTCCCTGCGGGCAGCGAGCGATTCGCCCGCCCTGCCGAGAGCTCTGCCCGGAGCTCTGCAAAACCTTCCAGGACTCTGAGTCCTCGGGAGGCAGGCCGGGGGCGGGGCGCGGGTGGAGCAAGGCTCCCCCCGCCCCATTTTCTTAATCCACCACCTCAGCTGCTGTATCATGCTGTCCTTTTTCATTCTGTATGTGAGAGAGTGAAAAAAGATAAGTCTATATTCCATACAGTTGGACTCCCCTCTATCTTAAAATTAGTTCAATTTATTCCTATTAAAAGAAAGAAAGGAAGCTCTTTAGACACAGAAAAGGTAGGGAGTACCTCAACTGAAAGACACAAAAGTGAATTAGAAAATTAGGTTTATTTTTATTTATTAATTTGAGATGGAGTCTCTCTGTTGTCCGCCAGGCTGGAGTGCAGTGACCCAGTCTCAGTTCACTGCAACCTCCGCCTCCCGAGTTCAAGCGATTCTCCTGCCTCAGCATCTCAAGGAGCTGGTATTGCAGACGCCCGCCACCACGCCTGACTAATTTTTGTATTTTTAGTAGAGAGGGGGTTTCACCACATTTGCCAGGCTGGATTTCGAACTCCTGACCTTGTGATCCACCTGCCTCGGTCTCCCAAAGTGCTGGGATTACAGGCGTGAGCCAAGGCACCCAGCTGAAAATTAGGTTTATTCAGGACCTTTGGAAGAATGAATTATTTTTCACAGTGAGTAAATGCGGTAGAGTTCGTAATTATTGAAACCTGACACTAGTGAACTGAAAATGAATTAACCTATGTGAAGCAGCTGGGGTCGAAAAATATTTGCAAGAATACTAGTGAATATTGAGGAAGCATGGTGAAATGGCTAGGAGTGCGACCTCTGGAGGCAGGTGTCAGGGTTCCAAGCCAGGGCGCTTTACTGGCTGTGTGTAACTTCAGATGACAAGGTCAGTTTCTCCATCTGTACAACTGGGATTATAATGTTTATTTTGTTGGGCAGCTGTGAGCATTGGCGATAAGGTGTTAGTACCTAGGACATGAACATGATGGCTGCTAACTTACTCTCACACTCACAGTTTTCTTGCACAAGAAAAATAGGTTTCACTTATTTTCACCTTATTTACTATTTGGGAAGTGTTAAAGCTTGAAGACTGCCTGGGCACGGCGGCTCACATCTGTAATTCCAGCACTTTGGGAGGCTAAGGTGGGTGGATCACCTGAGATCAGGAGTTTGAGATCAGCCTGGCCAACATGGTGAAACCCTGTCTCTACTAAAAATACAAAAAAATTATCTGGGCCTGGTGACACACGCTTGTAATCCCAGCTACGTGGGAGGCTGAAGCAGGAGAATTGCTTGAACCTGGGAGGCAGAGGTTGCAGTGAGACAAGATCATGAAGAATCGTGTGAGTGTGCCTTTACTGACTGAGAATCTGCCTCAGATCCACTGTACAAGGTCTGTTCCAATATATGGGATGGCTGATAGTAAGTTTGTAATTGTGCCACTTCACTCCAGCCTGGCAAAAGAGCAGAAACTCCATCTCACATAAATAAATAAAGTTTAAGGACTGGGAAATTCTTGATTTGAAGCCAAAGCAAAACAAAAAGCAAAACAAAAGAATGAGTTACCACTTTGTGCCAGGCATTATGAAATTAAAGATGAACGAGCCCCATCCAGACTCTGCCCTCAAGTAGCACTCCATCTAGCAGAAAAAATTCACACTAATTAATAATCTATAATGCAATCAGTTGTATAGAAACATATTGGAAGAACCACTTACTTTGGCAAATGGGTCCTGGATGACTTCCCAAGGAAGTGATGTTACCTTGGTTCTTGGAGTTTATGCAAAAATTCCCCAGTGAGCGAGTTGTAAGGAGAACCTTTAGAACTACTCTAAACAGAAAGTTCCACTCTAGCAAAAGTTCCCCAAAGTAGCCTTATGAAACATTTATGATCCAACCTCTGACAGCTTATCCAGTCTCATTCAATTCTATGCTTTCTCTTAAATCTAACATCAATCTGTAGAGGGAAATTTTCTTGAATGATTTCTTTGATGATTCATTTCCTCTTTTGCTTTATTTCTGGATTGTAGATGTTGGGTCACCCAAACTGGCCCTTTTTTCTTATTTCTCTTTTTCTTCTCTCTCTTTTTTTCTTTTTGGTCTCACTCTGTTGCTGAAGCTACCATGGCACCATCATGACTCACTGCCGCCTCAACCTCCTGGGCTCAAGTGAGCCTCCCACCTCAGCCTCCTGAGTAGGTGGGACTACAGGCGTGTGCTGCCACTCCTACCTAGTTATTTTTTTTTTCTTTTCCTCCATCTTACAGGAAGTATACCTACCTGTATCTTGCCATCTGAATTTTTGCCAACTGTATCTTGCCAACTGAATTTTTCATTTCTGTTGCCATCTATTTCCTTGTGTCTCCATTCTCATTCCTTTCCCCATTTACAGTCATTCTTGCATGTTTAATGCAAATCACTTTCTTTATGTTCCCCCCCAAAAAATCTGTGTTCTTGTGTGTCCATCTATTTTTAATTTACATAAAGGCTATTCATATCCCTATCCTCCTCTCTTCTTCTAAGAGTGTCTCTTTCTCCCTTCAGATGATCAGTTTTATAATCAAATATATTATTGTGTTAGTTGTCTGGGGCTGCTGTACAAATCACCACAGACTTCGTAGCTTAAAACAAGGTCCTGGAAGTCAGAAGTTCAACATCAGTGTCCCTGAGCCAAAATCAAGGTGTCAGCTGGATCATGTCCCCTTAGAGGCTCTAGGGAAGAGTCTGTGTCTTGCCTCTTGAAGCTTCTAGTGAGTACTGGCATTTTGTGCCACATCACTCTGATCTCTGCCTCTGGGGTCACTGTGCCTCTCTTCTATGTGTAATCTTTGTGCGCTACTCTCGTAAGGATATTTTGAAGGACTTTAGGGCCAGCCTGAATAATCCAGAATGATCTCCTCATCTCAAGTTCTCCAATTTAGTCACATTTGCACAGACCCTTTTTTTCATATACGGTAACATTTACAGGCTTCAGAAATTAGGATGAGATCTTTGGAAGCCATTATCAGCCTACCAGAATTATCTATTCATAGTTTTATATGTTCATTTAGACATACACATGTGGAATTTTTTTTCTTTACAAACTAAAATGGAGTAATACGGTCTTTGTGTAAATGCCACCTCAGAGAAATTCATTCTTTATTATTATTTATTTATTTATTTAATAATAGAGACCAGGTTTCACCATGTTGCCTGGGCTGCTCTCAAACTCCTGTACTCAAGCGATCCACCTGTCCTGGTCCCCCAACGTGCAGAGATTACCGCCGTGAGCCACCACACCTGGCCAAGAAATTCATTCTTATCCCCTTATTCAAATACAGCCCCAGTCATCTTTTGCCCTTTCACCTTCCTTTTTTTCTTCCTAGCATTTCTATCAGTCAGGGGTCCCTGTTGCTAATTAAAAAGAAAGAAACATTGGCTAATTTAAGCAGAAAATGAATTGATCATTGGTTATTAGGTAACACATAGTATCATCAGGAGGATCATGCATACCACTTAGAGATTAAGTGCCTAAACTCACACCACCTAAATAGTCCTGTATGCATGGCACTGAATCTGGCTGGACATACCTTTGCAGCCTGTGCTGCTGATACCATTGGAGCCAGGTGTAAGACGCTGTAGTTAGAACATCGGCCCCACTCCTCAAGAATGCTGCCACTCTCACCAGAAGAGATTTTAGGTGTTGCTAGCTTCTTCCACTCACTTGCTTCCATTGCATATCAAGACCCGATGTCTTTGAAGTCAGCAGTAAAAAAATCCCCAACTTTGTTCTTCTTTCTCAAGAATAGTTTGAATATTTTAGCTACTTTGAATTTCTACAGAAATATCATTTTCTCCAAACAACATGGTGGAATTTTTATTGGTATTTTTTTGACCCCATACATCAAAAGGTCACAAAGTAAGCTGGAATTTTAACCCTGCACCACTGGGTCCTCCTGACCACTCCAAGATAGGAAATCATTATTATGCCTCAGCTCGGTTTTTCTCTCCAGCTCTGGTCTTCCAAGTGTTTTTTTCAATTCATCTCATAGATGCTTTCTTTCACTTGATCGCTCTATATCTCCTCCTTCTTAGTCACCTGTTATGAGTTGAACTGTGGGTTCCCTTAAAATTCATATGTTGAAATCCTAACCCCTTCCACCTCAGAACAAGACCTTATTTGGAATAGGTTTGTAGATGTAATCAGTTAAGATGAGGTCATGCTGGAGCAGGTGGGTCCCTAAGCCAATATGGCTGATACTCTTATCAAAAGGAAAAATTTAAACACAAAATCAGACATGCACACAGGGAGAATATCACGCAAAGATTGGAGTTATGCGAACACAAGTTACAAAACACCAAGATTGCCAGCAAACCTCCAGAAGCTAGGAAAGAGGCGTGAAACAGATTCTTCCTTGCACCCTCAGAAGGAAACAACCCTGCCAACACTGACTTCAGACTTCCAGCCTTCAGCACTATGAGATAATAGATTTCTGTTGGTTAAATCACCCAGTTTGTGGTACTTCGTTATGGCAGCCCTAGCAAACTATACATCTACACGTAGACAATTCAGAAATCCAAATTTGTAAATCCAAATCCAAATGCAACAATCTAACACCAATATTCCCTTTTCCATCTATATAGCTTTTAGCACAGTGGGATAGAACCAGTTGTATTTTTGCCAAATCGGAAATGTAAAGAGTCGTTCTTGAATTCTCAGTGACCTCCTTTCCACATTCTGACAATCATTCAAATGGCTAAAGGGTTAGGAGCACAGGCTTTGAAGTCCGCTGAGCTTAAATATCAGCTTCCACATTTATTAGCTGTGTGATCTTGGGCAACTACCTCAGCTTTGGTTTCCTGACCTATTAAAGAGGGCTGATAGCGTCAAAACAGATAGGGTCGCTATAACAATAAAGGGAAAATATAGCTGAAAAGAATTTAGCACGTTACCTGGCATATAGAAAAAGTGAAACAAATTACCTGTTATTATCAGTGTTGTTACTAAAACAAACTTTAAATACATTTATTTTTCATATGTATGTCAGACTCATATTTGTGCACATGATGTGTTATACTCTGCTGGTATAAGAGTGACTAGCCACTAACCTCTATGTAGTCTTGTCTCCCACCTTTCAGTTTCTGAAATTGAGAGGAGGTAACCTTAAAAAACTGAACTATTGCCGGGCGTAGTGGCTCATGCCTGTAATCCAAGCACTTTGGAGGCCAAGGCAGGCGGATCACCTGAGGTCGGGAGTTCAAGACCAGCCTGACCA